ACCCCTCCCATCCCATCCCCATCTCCATCCCATCCCATCCCATCCCATTCCTGCCCTGCACTGTGGGACAGGAGCTCTGGGATATTCCTGCATCCCCCATCCCATTCCCATCCCATCCCCATCCCGGGGCAGGAGCTGGGGAGGCTCAGGGGGATCCAGGCTGGGCACCTGGGGCTCCTCTCCTGCAGAAGCCCCCGTTTGTCCTGAGCTGATGAGGGACAAACCCCACGGGCAGGGAGCTCCTCCTGCACTTCAGGGTTTGGGAAAGGAGCCAGGAGCCACAGAACATGAACATTTCCCTGGAATCACAGCCTGCTTGGGCTGGAAGGGCCTTTCCAGATCCCATTCCTTGATCTTTGTGGAACTGGTGCTGACTGGCCCCTCTGGTGGTTGTTGTAAAGATCCAGAAAATGCCTTCTCTAAATGGAATTCAGGTTTAGAATGGTAACTCAGCACTGAGACACAACCTTCTTTTACAAGGAAATACAAAGAGATTTTTTTTCTATATTTTTGAAATGATTTCAGGTTTGACAATCTGGGACTTTCCCCAGGCATTGAATTTTACAGAATAAAATTTCAGCACTTTTTGCATTGTCTGCAGAACATCAGAATCTTAATTAAACTGTAATTAAAAAAAAAAAAAAAAGAGAGAAGTTGTTTGGCAAATTTGGCAAGTTGCTGGCTTGGAACAAGGATGAAAAGAAAAGCAAATTTTAGAATTAATCCACTGGAGGGAAGCTGCCAGCAAAGCTCATTAATAGAAGTCTGATGTCTGGTGGGAAAAACCAGAAGCCCTGTGGCCTGGCAAAGAGAAACCAGCAGAGAAATAGAGGGGATTATTTATTTAACTAAACAGTCCTGCTGCTTCAGAGAATTCAGGGAACTGCTTTGTCACAAGTGAGCAGAACCAGCTGCATCCTGAGACTGGATGAGTTCCACTGCAAGAAATAGAAAATCCCTGCTGGAACCGGTCCTGGGGTGCCAGCAGAGCAGCCTGGATGGCCTATGATGTTTTTTCTCCAGTTCTGTTAATTTTCTCTTGTATTTTCCAACATTTTTTGTTCTGAAAACCTCACTGGGACAACAAGGATGTCAGAATTGGCTTTCTTTTGGATTATGGAGCTTCCAGTGGTGGAAGTTCAAATGTGTCCCACATTTTCTGTCCTGGTGGGGGGTTCCAGGCCAGGTTGGAACACCCTGGGACAGTGGGAGATGTCTCTGTGCGTGCCAGGGGTGGCACTGGATGGGCTTTAATGTCCCTTTCAAGCCAAGCCCTGCTGGGATTCCATGAAACTCTTTGGGATTTCTGAACCCCTGAGTCAGTTTGGGGGGGCTGAGCCGAGCCCCAGGATGGGCTCTGGTCACTGCAGGCTCCTGGAGCTGTCCTGAGCCACGGGCAGGGGCCAGAGGTGACCTCTGCAGGTGGGCAGGCTCAGGCTGGGGGTCAGGGCACGGCCCGAGGCTGCCAGAGCTCGGGGAGCCTTTGGGGACCCCCAGGGGTGCCCAGGCTGGGGTTGTGGGGGTCTGGGCAGGGCAGGGCGGCACCGGTGACCCTGCAGGGGGTGGCACTGACCAGGGGGTGCCCGCTGTCCCCGCAGTGTGCCAGGTGATCGGAATGTACGACTACAGCGCGCAGAACGACGACGAGCTGGCCTTCAACAAGGGCCAGATCATCACCGTGCTCAACAGGGAGGACCCCGACTGGTGGAAGGGGGAGGTCAACGGCCACGTGGGGCTCTTCCCATCCAACTACGTGAAGCTGACCACGGACACGGACCCGAGCCAGCAGTGTGAGTGTGCGGCCGGGGCAGGTGGAACATGCAGCATTGCCGGGCCCCGCGCAGCCCCCGGGCTCTTTGAAGACCTTTCTGTCCCCCCCGTTGTGTTTGGTTTCCTTCCCATCCCCGGAGCACGTCCCCGTTTCCCCGCCCTGCTCCCCCATCCCCACCCGGATCATTTTTGCTCCATGCCTTGCCACGCCTGCCTCATTTCCCTAGCTTGAATTTGCTCATTGTTTTGTTTTGCTTATGTGTTGTTTTCCTCCTTTTTCTAGGAATCATATGTTGTCCATCCCCCACTCAGGCTTGAAAGTCCTCAAAGAGACCCACTATCCCATAGCAGTGCCCAGAGGGATGATGGGAGCCTTGATCATGTGCCTTCCAGCATGATCATCTACTGCCTTCTGAGTCAAGAACACACTGCACAGCAGTTTTACCTCATTTGACATTTAGTTGCATGGAATCGCAATGGTCGAGCTAATCACCGACAAAATTAAACTGATTCAAAACAAAACAAAACAAAACCACAAAACACACACACACACACACACACACAAAAAAAATAATAATAAAAATAATCAGAGGATAGTGGGTCCTTTTGTGGCTTTCAGAGTTACCAAACTAATTTTTCCACCTTTGCACAGGTGCTTTTGGTAGTTTAAAAAATTATTTTTTAAAGATATATTTTAGCCTTTTAAAGGAAAAGTATAAATTAAATTTTTTCATTGCAATTTTGTTTGTGCAAAAAGACCCACTATCAAGGAATGCTGCATGTGCTATTAAAATTGTTCCAAATGTCCATGAATTGGAGACTTTATGTATCTTTCTTTTTTATTGTTCACTTGTCCAGTGTTGTCGATATGTCTCTTTTTTTTAATTATTATTTTAATTTTCTTTTTTTTTTTTCTGTTTTTTTTATAATTTTTCTTTTTAATTACAAAAGAACAGAAGGGGTTAAAATCAGTTTAAGGAAGTTGAAATGTGCCCAGTTCCAGGTATTTTGTTGTAGTTACTGTACTGTTTGTAGCAGGTGTTGTTGTTGAGTGTGTAACCCATGGTGGAGAGGGGAAATGCCCTCCTCCCGTGCCAGAGGCGAACCTGGAGCGATGTTTTCCCCAGCTCTGTTGGTTGGATTTTGCACATTTGTGGCTGCAGGCAGTGAGCAGCCAGCCTGCTCCAGGTGCTGTGCAGCATTCCCGGGCCAGGAACGGCTGGAATGTTCCTCCAGGGCTGGCAGAGCCCCCGGGGCTCCCTCCCTCCCTTTCTGTGCAACACCACCTGAACCAGTCATTTTCCTGACAAGAACGAATGTATAGAACGATCTCCCTGCGATTAATTTCCAATGTTTACATTTTTTGAAACTAGACTGTGGAGTTTATACGGATTACCAGGAGCCGGAGCTGGCAGTGGAGTTGTAGCCGCGCTGTAGCCGAGCCGTGGCCGTGTCTAGCGTTAGTGGCCGGCTCTTGCTGAAATCCCTGCTGCTGGCAGTGCCCTCCTCCCAAAGCCTGGAGCACCACAGAGCCCTGCTACTAACGATTTACCACTGAGTTCCGTGCTGCTTTCCGTGTCCCACTGTCCCCTGGAGCCCTCCCAGCCCAGCTCCCCGCTCCCGACCCGTCCTGCGGTGCAAAGGACAAGTGAAGCTCCTTACTCAGTTGCACTTCAGTATTTCATCACTATGAATGTAAATTATATAAATATATAAAAACCTGCAGCTTTAACAACTGTAATACAGCCTTTCCAATTAGTTCCATGTATAGAGAATTAAATCCTTCCTACAAAAGAGGCCGACACGTGTTTGTTGTCTCGTTGCTGGGTCACACCGAGCTCGCCACGGGCCGTGAGAGCACCGAGGGATTTGCCAGCAGCACAGCCTGGAGCCCTTTGCCCCTCACAGGGACAACTTGCCTGGGTTCTTGGAACGTTGTTTCACTCTAATTACTCAGATTCATCATCCTTACCTGCAGCCTTTTGCCCCTCTGGCTGGGAGGGGATTGCTGGGGTGTCCTTGGACTCCTGGTGGGACCCTTCCAGCTCAGGAGCCTCTGATTCCCTACCCAGGCTTTCTACGTGGTTCCAATCAGTGGATTTTGATTTTTTTTTTAATAGATAAATTAAATATTCTTGCTTGGTTTGCCATGGGTTTACCTGGATTTGGGATGTGTTTTATGCCAGGAGCTCAAATCTGAAAATATGCACAACTGCACAGATTTTCCTTCTTTTTAGGACAGTATTTAAACAGTAATACATCCTTCATTTCTACCCTAAAAAAACAATTCTCCATCATGGCCACTTGCTGACAACTGCAGAAATGGAACAGCCCGTCCCACTTGTGATTTTCAGTGCTTTCTGTGGGGATGGAGCCAGATTTGACTCCACTCTGTCAATATTTTGTGCATTAACTGATATTTGAACGAGAGGATCTCTCTTTTCCTATCCTGAGCTGCTGGGATGAAAATCTGACTCGACTAAAAGCTTTGGCCATTAGGGCCATTGTGGCTCCTGTGACTTCAGGCCACAGCTACAAGCTGGATCTGTAGTGAAATATTTGCAGTAATTCAGCTGTAGGGGATTCAGGTGCTGCTCTTTTCTTTCTCTTTACATCAAGTGGGAGGAAAAACGAGGCTCCTGCAGCACCCTGCAGGGTGGAGCTGCTCTGCTGTGTCCTCCAGGGGCTGACACTGGAGCCTTTCAAAGTCACCAAGTCCTAAAAGTGACCTGGGAGGGGCATCTGGAGTTGTCCCGCTGGGATTCACAGGGAATCCCGGGATCCTGGTGCTGGAAAAGCCCTCGCAGCCCAGGGAGTCCCAGCTGTGCCCGATGCCCACCTTGTCCCCAGCCCAGAGCCCTGAGTGCCACGTCCAGCCCTTCCTTGGGCACCTCCAGGGATGGGCACTGCAAAGCTCCCTGGGCAGCCCCTGCCAAGGCCTGAGCTCCCTTTCCATGGGCAAATTCCTGCTGCTGTCCACCCTGAACACACACGAGGCGCTGCTTGTGCCAGGACCCCTCAGGCAGAAGAGCAAAAGAAATCTCATGTACAGAGTCCCAGAGAGACTCCCTTGTGGATTAAGTGTCACATGTGGGAGTCCCTGTAACATTTATTTCCTCCATGAGTCCCTAAGGGGGCTCTGGGAGCTCGGCAGGGAATGTTCCATCCTCCTCCTCCTCCTCAGGGATTCTCCCTGAGCTGCAGGGACCAGGGCAGTGACTGCTTTACCTGTCTGCACTTGTCCTGATGGATGTAAATATATATAAATAGATATATGAGAAGGGGAATCTGATCAGCTGGGGCTGCCCCTGGATCCCTGGCAGTGCCCAAGGCCAGGCTGGACATTGGGAGCTCCTGGGACAGTGGGAGGTGTCCCTGCCATGGCAGGGCTGGCACTGGCTGATCCTTAAAATCCCACCCAAATCATCCTGGGATTTTGTGAATTGGTTCTTTATATTCATTTCCCTGTGCCAGGCACCTTCTCCCCTTGCACAGGAATTGTCACTTGAGGGATGGAGAGGAGGCTGCAGTTCCAGATGCTCCCAGTGCTGCTGATTTGATTCTTCACTGTTTTTATTGTTTGTGGGAATTCCCTCTGTATCCAACTGCTGACAAAGAATTCCCATGGATGTTATTTTGGAGAATTTGTTCTTTTCAATACTTGAAATCTGTCCAAGACAGTTCTTAGCTCTGAAACGTGGGTTTATCGAGAACATTTTGCTTTATATTCAGGATCAGTTTTATTTAAACCTCAATTCTTTTGGAGCTTTAGTGGCTTCACTTTCTGTCCCCATGAGCTCACAGAGCACATTTTATTCTCATAACCAAAATGACTGAAATTCTGGTTTTGTTCTCTGGTTTTAAAGCACTTTTTAGTTCTTTGTGCTTATTGACTCCAGCTATTTAACTTGTTATACAGCAACTTCTGTGCAGTAAATTCAGATGACAAGTGACTTGTTTTTAAATTCATTTTAGACAAGTTCAGTAGATTCAGGAGCAATACCTCAAATATTTCTGCATCAGTTGAATTGACACAACAGGGAAACAAACTCCTCCTTAGCTGCACACGGTGCTGAGGTGACCTTTGGGCTTCAGGACGTTGTGCTGGTGCAGTTACAAACTAAAATGGTTTTCAGCAAGACTTCACTGCCCACCTGGGGCCTTTAATGAGCAAAGCACTGGAACTGAGCTGGAGGGACCCCCAGTGATCCCCCAGTGCCCCCCTGCCCTGCCCAGACCCCCCAACAAGCCCAGCCTGGGCATCCCTGGATGCTCCTGGAGCTCTGGCAGCCTCGGGGCCGTGCCCATTCCCTGGGGAGCCTGGGCAGTGCCAGCAGCCTCTGGGGAAAGAAGAGCCTTGCCCTAAAAGCCAACCTAAATCCCTGCTGGGCCAGCTGCAGCCGCTCCCTGCTGCTGTCCCTGTGGCAGGAGCAGAGCCCGGAGCTGTTCCTCTGCCAAATGAAAGTGAAAAAATAATAAAATGTTGTTTGATAAAAGGTTGGAACATTTAAAATACTGCATTTGGTTCCCACACTGCTGGTTCCAAGTGAAGTGCCTGCACAGCACCTTTCATTATTTGTGGAATTCCCTGTGAAATGGGGCTGTGCAGTTCCTCCTCGGACCCGTGGCTGCTGTTTGTGACTCTGCTGCTTCTGTGCCCTGAGTGCCCAGGGGCTCAGGCAGGCCCTGGGTCACAATTCAGGGGTGAGATTTCATTTCCTGACGCGTTCTGAACCATTCCAGGACTGTGGTTTACATTTTTGGATGCATTCTTGCCCTCACATGTAGGATTTTACTGTCCCCAAGCAGCCTCTGGAAAGGGATTGGTAGAATCAGTGACTCACAGAGTGGTTGAGTGGGAACCACCATCCTCAAGTGCCACCTCCACACCTTTGAACACTTCCAGGGAGGGCGATTCCACACTAAATAATGCTTCAGGTTTTGCCAGTGGGACTGCCCAGGCTTGTTCCAGCTCCTTCCGTGCTCCTCAGAGGGAAGAGCTCTGCTCTGACGGGAAATGGACACACTGCTCTGCTTGACACATTCCAAACGTGCTGAAATTATTGAAAATAACAGAAAATGGGGTTGGGCATTGCAGATGTTTGAGATGGAGAGATCTGTTTGATCCCAGACAATGTCCTCACCCAAATCCTGGGATGGCTTCTCAGTGGAGGGTCCATCCCAGGGGATTTAAGGGGAATTGGTGGCATCTGGAACAGGTGCTAGGAAAGCTGAATGTTGCACTGCTGTGATTTAAATAATTCAACATTGCTGAGGTCCCTCGAGGGCTGGCTCCAGTTGTGGCTGGTGCAGGAGAGCCCTGGAGGGGCTGGAGCGTGTCCAGGGCAGGGAACGGAGCTGGGAAGGGTCTGGAGCCCCAGGAGGGGCTGAGGGAGCTGGGAAAGGGGCTCAGCCTGGAGCAAAGGAGGCTCAGGGGGCCCTTGTGGCTCTGCACAAGTCCCTGGCAGGAGGGGACAGCCGGGGGGGTCGGGCTCTGCTGCCAGGGAACAGGGACAGGAGGAGAGGGAACGGCCTCAGGCTGGGCCAGGGGAGGCTCAGGGTGGACAGCAGCAGGAATTTGCCCATGGAAAGGGAGCTCAGGCCTTGGCAGGGGCTGCCCAGGGAGCTTTGCAGTGCCCATCCCTGGAGGTGCCCAAGGAAGGGCTGGACGTGGCACTCAGGGCTCTGGGCTGGGGACAAGGTGGGCATCGGGCACAGCTGGGACTCCCTGGGCTGGGAGGGCTTTTCCAGCACCAGGGATTTTGGGATTCTGTGAATAATTTACCTGAGTGAAGGGGTGCTCTCCTGGTGTGCTGTTCCCTTCTCCTCAAGGATTTGGAGGTAAACTGTGATACCATTTTTGCCTGCTCCTGGTTCCCTCTAACAGGACAGATTTAAGTCTCCTGTGGCCTTGTCCCTGCAGATGGGGCCAGCACAAGGCTTCCAGGGGAATCTGGCAGTGGCACCGCTTAGAAAACCTCCCCAAATGAAAAGGAATCAGCAGCTGTGGCCAGGGGTGTGGATCAGGGATTTCCACAGCAGAACCTCCCTTCCCAAAAGCAGCATCTTGTTTTAGGCTCAATGTTTATCTTGGGAGACCCAGATCTCCAGGGCTGACTTTGTAGGGAAGAACAACAACATCTTTACTCTGTACAAAGAGACTTGAAATGATTTTTGCATTTCTGGAGCCCATTAATGTGCAGGGGCTGTGGTGCTGGGAGGTCAGGGCACAGATCTGCAGTCACTTTTGTCTGTTGGTTCTCCAAGTCCAGCCAGAATGGCAGAATTCATTATTGTCATTTCCCCTGCTTTTACTGCATTGAAGAAAAGAATTGCCCAGAGCAGCTGGGGCTGCCCCTGGATCCCTGGCAGTGCCCAAGGCCAGGCTGGACATTGGGAGCTCCTGGGACAGTGGGAGGTGTCCCTGCCATGGCAGGGCTGGGAATGGGTGGGGTTTGAGGTCCCTTCCAACTCAAACCATTCCATGATTTTGTGATCAATGGAATTCAGTTCAGCAAAGTCCTTTGGCATCCATGAAAAACGAGCCAGACATTCTCACTTGGAAAGGAACCCAGTTCTTCTTCTTCGGTGGTGTTAATGCAAAACCAAGAAAAATCCCTGTACTTGTGCACATCAGGAAGAAAATCCCCTCCCAGGAAAGTCTCTTTGGGATGTTCTGCTCAGATCTGGGCATTTTTTTCCCCAAATATTTCACATCCAAAAGCAGAGTGTTTGTCGTGGTTCAGAGCAGCCCATGCTGCCAAGGGAGCCACTAAAATGGTTCATTATTCAAAATGTCAGTGCTCCCTCCACAGGCCTGGTGGTTGGAAATCACCTTCAGGCCAAGGTCGTTGCATCTTTGAACAAGAACTTCCCCAAGGAAAAGTAATGAAACACTTGGTTCTCTTCTAATGAGGCACTGGGAGAGCTGGGGCTGTTTCTTCTTTACTTGGTACCAAAGAAACTGCTTTGAAATCAGGCATTTATTCAGCAGAGATCAAACTTCTGGCTTTTGAAAGGGGCCAAAATTCATTGTTTGGGCATAAAACTGGTATTTCTCCAAATCTTTATTGCAAGCAAAATTTCAATTGCACTTTGTGAAGGGCTGTGACATCCCCCTGTCTCAGGGGAGCCTTATCGGTGTTCCTCTGCTCCCAGCCTGATCCCAGCTTCAGAGTCACACAGGAAACTTGACTGTCTGTATCTCCTTTTCTGCATTTATTTCATTTGGTTTTGTTTGGGTTTGATTTTTGATTTGATTTGATTTGATTTTTTTTAAGTCAAATCCATCATTCCGTTATCAGGAGCACAGATCAGTTAAAGCAGATTTTGCTGATATTCCATGGCAATAATGGTGACAACCCTGGACCTTCCCATTGGCATTGTCTGAGCTCCATTCAGGAATCTGGAAATGCAGGAGAATGCAGGAAATACTCCTTAAGTATTAACTTTATATGCAAAGAACTGAAGGAGTAACCTGGGGCCTGATGTTTCCATAAGGAAAGTTTGTTGCCATGGGGAATACACTGAATTTGCTGCGGGGTGAGGGAAAGAATTCAACTGGGGAATTTTGGTTGTGTGAAAATAGTTGAAATAGATCATTTTTAGAGCCAAACATTTTCCACCTGTTTGAAATCAACTTTGCTTTTTGAAATGCATGGTATTTTATGCAGAAAAATAGCAAAAACTGGGAGAAAACATTCTGTGTTCCAGTCTCAGAAAAACTTTATTAAACTCAGCTGGAAAATAACGGCCCACAGAAGAAGGAATGGAATTAAATGTTCTGTCTAATTCAGAGTAGGAAACATAATTTGCGATTGTAGAATTGATGTAAAAATCCTCCCATCTACAGGGGATCAGTGCAGGGGAGGTCTGCAACAATGAAAGGACGGAAGTGATGGAAGAGGAGCTCTCAGTGCCAACCTTTTCCTGCTTTTAAACATAAAGGAGAACAGAATCCACCCCTTGGCTTGGCCCAGAAATCAGTGGAATCTGGGGACCCCCAGTGACCTTTGCATGTCCTGGCTCAAGCCCTTCAAACATTTAGGAGCAGTTTTTATTTAAGTGTGAAGAAGGGCAGAGGCCCTGCAGGCCCTTCCTGAGCAGGATGTCTTTGGCCAGAAGGGGAAAGGTGAACCTTGGCCACGGAGCATCCATCAGCTGAGGGAATCATTCCAACACACCCCTCGGAGCACCGGGGTCACTGCAGCTCCTCCCTAATTCCCTCTGGGATATCTCTGCATCTTCCTCACACCACACAAAGTCTTTCTCCCCCTTTTCCATCACCAGCCATCCGTGTGGGACTGGAATCCCAATCCCCAAGGGTTTGGGGGCCTCCAGGGTGAGGCTGGGAATGGGCAGAGGTGAGGGAGCCTGGCCCCCAGGGAAGAGCTGAGCCACAGGGATGGCTTTGTTCTGATAAATACTAAAAGGTGTTGAGGAGCGTGTTTAGGGGAGATGAAGTGGGCAGAGCAGGCAGCTCCTGTGGAGTCCATGTGGGAAAATGAATCTGAATGCGGGCTGTGTTGTGTTTTGCAGGGTGTGCAGACCTGCACCTGCTGGACATGCTGACCCCCACCGAGAGGAAGAGGCAGGGCTACATCCACGAGCTCATCGTCACCGAGGAGAACTACGTCAATGACCTGCAGCTGGTGACAGAGGTGGGGCAGCCCTGGGCACTCCTCCCTCGGCCAAATCAATCCTTGCACTCTGCAAAGTTCCTGCATTTCACTGCTGGCTCTGCCTGCCCTGGGGGGTCTCCATCCAATCCTCATTTATCTGTATTTATTCAGATTCAGCTGTGGGAGGGTGCAAACACGGCCATTCCCTGTGCTGCCATCACCAAAATGCTGATGTTTGAGGTGTCGTTTTAGCAAAGCCCCTTAGCTCCTGACTCTCAGTGTTTATTTTTCATGCACAAGTTCTGAAACTTAAACAAATGCAATGAAGTGGAGCACTGTGCTTGCAGTGGGGCTCAGTTATCACTTCCTGAAATTGGCTTTAGAGGTAGGAAAAAAGGAATTAGCACAGAGAATTATGAACAACTCTCCTGACAGAAAAGCAAAGCCCTTTTTTGAAGCAGAGTTCAAGATACACAAACCTGGGACCCTCACAGAAATCAGATCCTCCATAAAAGAGTCCGAATTTCAGTTACTATCAAAGGAGTCTTGGATCTTTTATAGGAGACCTCTGCTAAAATTCCCTTGTTTCAAACAGATTATCCAGATCAGAATTAACACCACCACCCCTACAAATTCAGAATATTCCCTGTTAAAGCCCCTCGTACCTGAGATCTCCTTAGGGAACACGATGGATGTCTGGGCCTTGGAGCATGCTGGAATTCTGTCTGTACCTACCCTCAATGGCCTCCCTTCTGATCCCCAGATCTTCCAGAAACCACTGATGGAGTCTGAGCTGGTCACAGAAAAAGAAGTTGCCATGATTTTTGTTAACTGGAAGGAGCTGATAATGTGCAATATTAAACTACTGAAGTAAGTTTGTTTTTTCCCCACCATACTTCACAAAAGCAGAGCTCTGGGCCTCTCCCCCTGCTTCTCCTTTCTTCTACATGAAAATATTTGCCACTTAGACGAATTCCAACCAGAAGGGCCACGTGTTTCTCCTTGTGGGGAAGAAGCAATCGGGGGCAGTGTTTGCTGAGAGCAGCTGAGAAGAACCCAGCAGCTCTCTGCCATTGCACTCCCTCTGTTCCTGTGCTCAGAAGGCAAATCCTCCTCTTCCCTGAAGAGCAGAGCTTGCCAAGGCTTCCCACGGGGCAGGATTTGCCTGGATCCAAAAGGGTTTGTGCCCAGAGCACCCCTCCCCAAACCACTGAGACCCACCCACACGGAAGGAGGGCACAGTTAAACCTTCACCTGGATAAGCAAAAGCATTCATAAAATTATTTTGTTTCCCTACTGAGCTGCTAATTTTCACTGAACCTACAGAGATTTTACAGCTTTGCAATATCTCCTGTTTTTTTTTTAAATGTGTTTGAAAATGGCCCACAGGTTGAGCGGTTGTGGTGGTGACAGGACAAATGACAACGAAGCTTTCCTTAGGAAACCAGGCTGAAAACTCAGAGTGATGGGGTTTTTCCTCCTTCCCTCACACATCAGGAAACCAATAGAAAAGGAAATTCCCCTCCTCTTTCTCTCACCTCTGATCTGGCATTGCATTAAGGTCCTGGATGACCAGGAGAGGGAAAGGTGTTAGCCTGGGTTATTGTGTCCTTGCAGTAAATCTCGTGGCCGATGCATCTCTCGTTCTCTGCGTTTCCATAATGAATGAGAAGCCACCCCTTTATTCCATAACTGAGGAGTGGTTCTTTGTCCAACCCCTGCTCCTGCTCAGGGCCCTGCGTGTGAGGAAGAAGATGTCTGGGGAGAAGATGCCGGTGAAGATGATCGGGGACATCCTGACAGCGCAGCTGCCCCACATGCAGCCCTACATCAGGTTCTGCAGCTGCCAGCTCAACGGGGCCGCCCTCATCCAGCAGAAAACGGATGAAGTGCCCGACTTCAAGGAGTTTGTCAAGGTAAGAGAATCAGCAACCCCTGGGAGTTCTGTGCATCTCCTCACGTGGCTGATCTGCTGAACAAATGAGTGTCCACTTCTGGGCCACTCACTTGAAAAAGGACCTGGAGGGGCTGGAGCGTGTCCAGGGCAGGGAACGGAGCTGGGAAGGGGCTGGAGCCCCAGGAGGGGCTGAGGGAGCTGGGAAAGGGGCTCAGCCTGGAGCAAAGGAGGCTCAGGGGGCCCTTGTGGCTCTGCACAAGTCCCTGGCAGGAGGGGACAGCCGGGGGGGTCGGGCTCTGCTGCCGTGTCCCAAGTGACAGAACGAGAGGAAATGGCCTCAAATTGCATCAGGGGAGGCTCAGGTTGCAGATTGGAAACATTTCTTCCCTCACAGAGCGGTCAGGCCTTGGGATGAGCTGCCCAGGGAGGTTTGGAGTCGCTGTCCCTGGGAGTGTCCCCGAGGAGTCTGGGGACAGGGTTTGGGGTGATGCTGAGTGGGACTGGGTGGGACTGGGTGGTCCTGAAGGGCTCCTCCAGCCCTGGTGATCCTGGGATTCTCATCCAGACAAGGCAGGTGAAGAAATGTTGCAAAACTCACAGGGAGTTCTCCTGATGTGATCTCAGAGCAGATTTAGCTGAGGATTGGTGCTCATTTATTGCCTTCCCTTTTCCTTTCTTGGAGGAGCTCATTTTTCAGGGTTTAAAGCACCTGACTAACCAGATTTTACCTCTCTAATGTTTCAGAGGTTAGCAATGGATCCTCGCTGTAAAGGAATGCCACTATCAAGTTTTCTACTAAAGCCTATGCAACGGGTAACCAGATACCCACTAATAATTAAAAATGTACGTTCCTTTGCAACATGATGGGTTTGGTGCTGCTTTGCTTACACCTTAATCACAGGCTTGTTTCTTTATTTGTGTCAGGCTTTGTCACTGTGATATTTCTGATGTGCTGGGGAATGTGGGATGTCCTTTAATACTCAATTCCAGTATATAAAATAGGATCATTCCTTGGGCTTTGGCGAAATTCTTCTATATTTCCATTTGAAACAGAGGTGAAGCTTGCACCCAAAGAACCAGAAGGCAGCGAGTACTGAGTGAAAATTAAAAATTCAGATAACAGGAGCAACAAGACAACCCTGTGCTCATATTTGCCTTTCCCCTCAGTGCCATTCCCTCCCCACAGGCCGGGAGCTGACGCTGAGCCGGGATCGCTGCAGTTCCCCCTGCAGCTGATGCTGCTGGAGGATTTACAGCCTTTTCCTAACTTCCATTTGTTGCTTAACACTTCCCATCCCAAATAACACCGTGGAACAAGGCCCAAGGCTTTCACAGGGAATTAGGGATTGGATGTTGGCACGGCAGGGATTCCTCCAGCAGTTGTGGCTGCGTTTCTGTGTTTGGCTGCAGTGTTTCTGCCACAGGAGCCAGTCCTGCTGCAAAGGCTGTGCAGGCAGGCCCATGATCCAGCTCTTCCCAGCTAGTGCTGCTCTCCCACTCCTCATGGCTGCCAAGGAGGATGATAAATATGATAAATGATAAATGCAGGCTGCCTTGGCTGGCTCTGCCAGCAGTGAAGCCTGGAAGAGAAGCGTGGGGCTGCAGGGCTGAGCTGACAAGGCCCTGTTTGTGTGCAGATAATAGAGAACACCCCTGAGAACCACCCTGACCACAGCCACCTGAAGCACGCCCTGGAGAAGGCGGAGGAGCTGTGCTCGCAGGTGAACGAGGGCGTGCGGGAGAAGGAGAACTCGGACAGGCTGGAGTGGATCCAGGCCCACGTGCAGTGCGAGGGGCTCTCCGAGGTAACCGGGTTAACCTGCTCGGCAGCCATCCCAAACCCCATCCCAAACCCCATCCCCATCCCAAACCCCATCCCCAACCCCATCCCAAACCCCATCCCAAACCCCATCCCCATCCCCATCCCAAACCCCATCCCCATCCCAAACCCCATCCCCAAC